GAAGCAAAAATAAAATATAGTTAAAATAATTCTTTAAATTTTGTACTAAATTTTTAAAATTTTTAAATGAAACCTTAGTTAAACATTAATTTTTTTAAAAAACAACAAGTAAACATACCTGAATTACATACCGAATATTGATTCTGACAAATTTTTTAGAAATTTCAGATATTTCAAAAAAAAAAAAAAAAAAATTTGGTTGTTAAAAGGCAGAAATTCTTACTAAAAATTATAACTTGTCTTTGATCTTAAAATATTTTGATGATATTAATAATATAAAAGTTTTAAAAGTAATTTTGTGAGATGAGAAGTTACAGTTTTCATATTTAAATTGATCATTCAAAAAAAAAAAAAAAAAAAAACTAACAAATTATTATTATAATAGAACATAAGTTTCATCTGCTCATAACTTACTAATATGAAAAATTTATTTTATTTTTGATCGAGCAATATCTAAAATCGAATTTTCGATTAATCTCTTCAAACAAACTTAACTGTTAAATTTTTGCTTGACAGTAAAAAAGAAAATTATTGTGAAAAGGATTTTTAAGCCTAATTGATAATTTTTTTAAACGTATTTAATTATTTGATATGAAAATAGAAAGCGCTTTTATTCCGTGCATCTTTCATTTCATTTCTGATTATTATTTTTTGAACGTACCAATTTTTTTCGGATAACACATCTAGTTTCTGAAACATTTTAAAGATATTTTAATAAGAATATTATTATAAAATTCATACATAAATTTCTGAGAGAACCTCGATCTTAAGTTCGACACAATAGGTTACCATAATACTAGTAACGATTCGAGTCGCCTTTTGGTGATGATCATCGCCTTTTGGAGGCTTTAGTTGGCGCGATACTGAGGTTTGGCTGAAGGGTATTCTAAATCAGTTGTTTATTTTAACCTGCCATTCCATTTTTATTTATCTGTAATGCAAAGACTTTTTTCCTGCATGAAAATGGATCTCATTTTTGAGATTTTTAATCTTGATTAATTTTTTTAATTGTAATGTTTGATTAATTTTTCATTATTTATGTAAATGGCCAGATACAGTTGCAGATTCATTCACTGATTCACTGCGCCTTTTTCATGTGCATTTGATACTTTTCAAGTCTGCGTACTAGAAAGATCGACGGTATATTACCCGATAGAACGACAGACCATTACTCGAATGTAATAAATGCTACGTTTAGCAAACTCGGCAATATCTATAATTAGGATTGTTATTATGTAAGAAAAAATATTTTTTTGCTCAGAATGTGGTAATCCTACAATGGATCCCTGCTCATGTAGATTTGGAATTTAAGGAAATTGCAGATTCTTTGGCGAAGAATGCCAGAAGTCTGGATCAGACTGGCATTCCTACTTCCCTTGCAGATGCAAATACCTTGGCGAAATCTAAACTTGTAATTCCGTCTAAGGTCAAAACTAAATACCAAATTGCAGAACTAACCGTCGACAGAAAAAGCAGCTACTACTCCTGCAAGATTAAGGTTGAAGCACCGTAAAAATATGAAAATGTCTGCTGGTGGCTTTAAAAAAATAAAAAAAAAAAAAAAAAAATGTGGCAACTGCCCTGATGTCGAGTTTACTCCTCATCATGTCTTTGATAGTCCAGCTGTTGCAGCTGCCTTGTATTGTCTGGACCATCCCTCGGAAGAGGATTTATACTCCGAGCTGGCAATCAACATGGTCAATATTGTTCGGAGCACCACGATATTTGATTTCTTTGTACTCTTCAGGGGATACGACAAAAACAACAATATTTTTAGTGTATAAAATATTCCTGTTTTTTTATAATCTATCCATTTAAAAAATAAAATAATATTATTGGAATAAAACTTCTACCATGCTTCTAGAGTCAGAAAGGCAATATTAGATTTATATACAATATTTTTCTTTTTATTAGAGTAAAAACCTTGTCATTTCTTTTAATTAAATCTGTCAGCTGTTTTTAGAACTAGGCAAAAATTTAGAAACCTCAAGTTTATAGCGTGTGATAATTTGCTAGAATTGGCATGATTTCAGGAACAGTGAAAAAATATAAAATTTAAACTTCTATACTGTTTGTTTATTCTCACTCGCCAATTCTTAGTACAAAATTACGCCCAGACTCTATTTCGAAATCAGTTTCATAACTTCATATCGCATTTAGTTGCGCCAAATATTCTTATTTTTCATTTCAAAGCTAAATTTAACAGCACTGTAGTTAGATTTCTAATCAGAACACACTTACCTCATATAAAATCTACAATTGTTGTTCTATTTGTTCTCGAATAAGTCCTGAGAAGATTGTTTTTTTTTTTTTTTTTCCTTTTCCTTTTTTTTTTTTTTTCTTCCGTCCCAGTGGATACAATTTTGCTAGGAAAACACATTCTTTCGCATGTAAGCACATTTTGAACTCAGTAGTGTGTTTATATATAGTTTGATTCGATATACGTTTTTGGAATTGATAGCATTTCATTTCGTTTGTGGAAGTTATACAATACTGAAATCTTTAGAGTTGCAAAAAATCAATAAGTTGCTGCCAACTTTTCAAAGTGTTTAATAATTTCTTTATTATTATTATTATTATTATTATTTACATGAGATTTCTGTTTTAAGCAATTTATAATATTGGGATATGTTTTTTTAAAACTATCTAAATTTTCTACTTATTAGCCGCATTAATAGTACAATAATATTACATTATAAACCCCATTAATGATCATTTAATATAATTCGAGGATGATTTGTGTCCGTTCACTTGCTTTCTTTAACACTTATACCAATGAAATTTCATTTTTGTCTTTCCAATAAAATACCTAAACTAGTGATTCACTTTTAATATTTAAAGAGCTTCATCGATTTCGAAATAAAATAAAAAATTAGCATTTGTGTTTTAAAAATTGTGAATGTCACCTTGAAGAGCAGAAGTATGCATAAAAGAACAATGATGAAAACAAAAAAGAAGTTGCTCCTTTTTACTTGTAATTACATTGCAAATATTAAATTTAATAATTCTTTTCCTATTAAATTATATTCTTTTTTCTATTTTGACATTAATGTTGCAACAGGCTCGTCTCATGATTCCCCTAAGTTAAGTTTGTTTAAAATGGGAGCACCACTTCTGTGGCTCAACTGTGCCTCCTTGTACCACTGCAATTTAGAACGAACATGATGCGGCGGCAACGAGTGACAGCTGATAATGTTACATTAATGCAAGGCCTTGTGCATTTTTTCGACAATGCAAGGATTTCCCGAATAGTTGAAAACTCGACCAATTATTTTGCGACTAAGTACTCAACAAACTATAGTTTCTTGCAAAATCATGTACGGATACTGAAGCACTGTCTTAAAATATGTCAAAAGAAAAAATATTCAAGTACAACAAATTCAAAGGTTATGGTGGCTAACTTGTTAATTTACCTGAACCGGTCGAATCTTAAATGCCATAATTTAGAGGAGACTGTGTCCTTGGTCATATAGTGTCTCACGCAAAGTACTTACGTGGGCCAGTGGCGCAACGGATAACGCGCCTGACTACGGATCAGGAGATTCTAGGTTCGAATCCTGGCTGGCTCGGAAGTCTTAAGTTTTTTTTTTTTCCCCTACCTTCCATAACTTTTAGTTCTTGTTCTATTCACAAATGAGATTAATCTTTAGAATATTAATAAGATAACAAGGATAAAGGAGAAAACAATAAGAAATTTGAAAATGTTGATCGATATTGCATTAATATAGTCCAACCACCGCAAGCGGCCAAGTTAGATGTGATCGTAGTGGTATCGTAGAGAACAGTGGTATCGTAGAGAAATAAATGTCATTTAGTAGGGATTTTAATTGCAATAAAAAGAAATTTAATTTTCAATAATTAAAATTTTAGATTACATGATATTGAAAAAAATTAGATGAAAACACATATGCTATATCGCGATTATACTTTAACTATTATATTTTTACTTATTGCACAGGACTAGTATATTATTATGTGCGAACATAATGTTGTCCTGGTTAGAAGTCTGCAAAAAAAAAAAAAAAAAAAAAAAAAAAAAAAAAAAAAATTAACGATAACTTAAAACACTTTTATTTAGAATAAACTCTGATTTTCGCGTGATTTTATTCATGTGTGTTGTAAAATTGGCATGAAATATGTGTTGCTAAATAAAACGATTGACCCATATCAAGTCACTTGATCTGTAGTTCATTCTGAATTGTCTGGTTTTCAAAATATAAACAAATTGTTTCAATATCCTCAAAATAACATTTGAGGATTAGTTTGTGTTTATAAAAGTTAATTTAACCATCACTTAACAGACTTCTCTGTCTGAAGTAGGTAATGCTTCTTGTAGTATTTGAACAATTGATAGAGTTATCAAACTTTGGTATAAAATTTGCTATTAAATTTTGTAGCTATTACATTTGATAGTTCTTGCAGTATTCTGACCGATATCTACATAGATTTCTTGAATTATTGAACATTGGTATACTTCCATGCGTATTCAAATGCGGAACAGAGTATGTTCACACATGATAAATTGAAATTCGTGAAAGGATTTCAGTTTTTATAATTTTTTTTAACTGCTTTGCCCGCGTGTATTTGGCATCCTTAACAAGTAATAGATTCATCCGCTTATAGCTGTTAAAATTACATGCGTGTGATTCTTTTCCCACCTATCCGCGGATGATTATTATTTTGTATTCTCAAATGTAAATTTCCCCTTTTATTTTATATAAATACTCTAATATGTCCGTTCTCGCCAGATAAAAAAAAAACTCCTGACATCAAGTTATGTAAGTATTATCAAAAATCCTCCACTTTAAAGTTAAAAAATATATATCTTGTCTGCTTAAAATTGCATTATTCGTTAATTTATAATTTGCTAGTATAGGGGGATAAAGGACTTTATAGCCCAGACGCCTCTCCTCCCTCCTTCCCCTCCCCCCTTCCTCGCTGTTAAACCGAATGTCGACCATTCACGCTATTTGTATTCTAACTATACATCATTAAAATGCGTAGTCGTGGCCGAGTGGTTAAGGCGATGGAGTAGAAATCCATTGGGTCCATCCAAGCGCAGGTTCGAATCCTGCCGAACTACGTTGCGATAAACTGTTCTGGTATTAGCTAATTAATTACTGCTAATTCCAGAAGAGTTTTAAGTTTTTCTCTTTTAACATAAAAAGGGAAAAAAGTGTTTAAATAAAAAAAAAATATAAGAAGTTGAATGTCTTTTCAAAACTATACTTATAATAATGCTAAAATAATTTTTAAAAATATCAATAAAGAAGCTTATATTAAAAAATTTTTGAATTCCGAATATATAGATGATATTTGTTAATAAAATTAAGTAAACAATTTTTAATATTTTTTCCAAATAAAAATAATTTAGAAGTCAGTTAGGTTAAACATAGAAATATTATTTAACTGAGGATATTTTATTTATTTAATAAGTAATATTTATTGTTGAAATTAATTTAAAAGAAATCGGAATTTTTATTGAAATCCTATACATTAATATTTTTCCGCCTCAGAAAAATAATATTTATTTGATTTATAGAAATGTTCTCCAATAAAAAAATTTTAAAAAAAATCAAGTTTGCAGATTATTTTGATTAAATTTATAATAGTTGATAAGTTGTTATATTCTCATTTGTAAATAACCATAAGTTTTGGTATTATAATTTTAAGATTTTGTAAAACTATATTGAATGTATACATTTTCTGGTATTTACTTCTACATCGCAGACCTGAATGGCCGAGTGGCTAGCGCTTTGGCGCTCGTTACCACAGGTTTCGGATTCGAGTCCCGGCGGTGCCATGGATGTTTGTAGTGGTTCGGAATCCACTTTAAACCGTAGGTCCCGGTCCTAATAGGATCGTTGAGGGGGCATTGTTACTCCGCGTTCGTATCTTCAAGTTACACGCGCCCCCTGGATAATGCAAAGTGAGTAACGTCTGTGCAGCGCTTGCCTTGAGGCATCCAAAAGACCAAGCTGTCTAAGTGTTTGCCAGCTGCAATAGAACAAAAAAAAAAAAACTTCTACCACGCAGAATATCGAATGTTCTCTCTACAATATATCAATACTGTAAATTAAAAATAATTTTTTTAACTATCTTCTACATTGATTTCTTAAACTATTATATAAATTGCACTACATGATTTTTCATTTTTAAACAAAGAAAATTATTTCAGTCGTTTCATTTGCACGTAGGACAAACAAACCTACCCAGTAAAAAGAAAAAATTCTCATGTTTCGAAATCTTCCAGTAGGAAGAAGGCCTTGGCTCACCATGAGCGGTCTAACCAAATATGATGATGATGGAAGATGTTTGACCAATTAATGTAATCCTCATTATTTAACCTCTCTTTAATAATCATTCATATTAAATATTAACGTACTAGACTTTATTCAATTAGTTTCAAAACTTGATTTGACAAAAATTAATTTTGTTTTCCAAAAATTCTGTTACCTCTATGCAATTCTATTATCATTTTCATTCTTTTTATATTGGCAGACATGAACTTAGATGCTTTATTTCTATCAAAATATAATATTTCATTAAAAAAATGTATTCATAATTTTGAAAGCAATTGAAATAATTACTTTTCAGTATGTTTGGTTAATGAGATATTGAACATCTTAAAAAAATGAATTATATGTTGTTGTTGTTTTCGAAGTTTTTGATCAAATATTAATCATTATTGAATCTAGAATATGTCTTTTGATCCTAAGAATTGTAATGAATTTTTTAAATTCTCCTCTAAACGGACTAAACTTTATTCATCACATTCCAAGAATATTAATCAAGCCAAGTTACCAAATGCATCAGCGATACAAGAATGTAGCTGCTTGTACAAGAATGCATCTTTCGTGCCAACTCTGTGGTTGAAAACTGAGAAGGAATTTAATGGCATCTTGAATTCCTCTCAATGTGCTAGTTTTTCTTTTTTTCAAACAGAGGTAATCCGAAACACACATTGAATTCGCTACATTCTCGTGTGAAAACTTGAATCTTAGCCAGGTACAATGCTATTCGTCCCTTGTGGTTGCAACGAGAACGATAAAAGGAGTTGACAGCCTTTCTTCAATGGTTCTCAAGTTAAGTTAATCCGTTGAAAATTCTGAAGATTGTTTATTGCATTAAGAATTTTGAGAACAGTGCCTCATTAATAACATGGCTTTAAAATGAATGTGGAACTAATAGGCAGTGTACGTTCACTTTAATATTAGTGTGCACGTTTCGAAATAGCTAATAAATGTAACATTTTTGTCAGATATAGAGTTTAAACCTTTTATCTTGTGAAAAATAAAATTAAAAAGTTCCGTTTTTTTTTCTTACGATATTTCGTACAGTTTACAGAAAAGTTTCATAACATTAAATATTGAAGAAATTTTCTCAAAAATTTAGAATGTCTGTTTTTAAATCAATATAATTTTAATAAAAAATAAACTTGTAAAAAATAATACAGAATTGTTGTAGGAATTTAGAACCCATCAGTCAGTCAGAAAGCTTGATCTTCTAACCATTCAGGCTGCTGATTGGTTGATGTTCTATTGTTGCATTGTTACTGGTTGATGTTCTGTTGTTGCATTGTTATCGGTTGATGTTCTATTGTTGCATTGTTATTGGTTGATGTTCTATTGTTGCATTGTTATTGGTTGATGTTCTGCTGTTGTATTGTTATTGGTTGATGTTCTATTGTTGTTGATTGATGCTGTATTGTTGTAAAAATTTATAATCTGCCAGCCATTCAGAAGCCTGATCTTCTGTCCAATCAGGCTGGTTGATGTTCTGTTGTTGTAAAAATTTAGAATCTGTCAGCCAATCAGAAGCCTGATCTTCTGTCCCCTTGGGCTGCTGATTGGCTGATATGAAGCCTATCTGAGCTATTAAAGATGCACACTAGATGTATTATAAATCAGATTTTGAAAAAAAAAATATTACAAAGCCGTTATTGTTCTGCTTCTAAGGGGAGGTGTCGCGAGCAGATTTTGGAAGGTCACCAAAAAGAATTTGGAAAATAGCTCTTTTTTAACTTTTTATTATTTAAACGTTAAATTCAATCTTTTCAACTTTTTGTTATTAATGTTGTTTAGATTTCCCCTTTTTTTTTATAGAAATTCAATCATTCATCAATTCATCAAAATTTTTTTTAAAAGTTGAAAAATGAAGTTAAAAAATTACGTTTAAAAAAACAAACTATTGTAGCTTTTATGCAATTTTGCTTGTGATTATTTACATATAGTTTTCCAAAGATAAATTATTACATTTACATAAGCTTCAAAATGTTTTCATAATTTTTTTTTTTTTTTTGTACATCGGGAAATTTTTTACTTTGAAATGCTGTCGGAATAAAAATGTTTAAGGACCACTAACCTGAAGCAGTGATCTTTAAAGTGAGATGCATGTTTTTCAGCGGGTACGCAAAGTGATATTTAGGCGTAGGCTCATGATCACTTGTGGGTGCCACAAGTGAAGTTTTACCATTTGGTTCTACAAACCTGCGTAAAGTAGTGTTTAATGCAATGACAACATTTCAAACCAAGTACAGAAATAAAATAAAGTTAGAACAAAAATTGCATTAAAACTGGTCAGATATCCCCGATATTTTTTAACAAATGCATTCATATTGTTCATATTAAAATCTATTTAAAAGTGTAAATTTGTAATTTAATTTAAATGTATTACGTTTAAGTTAAATATTTTGATTTTTGACTACATATATATATATATATATATATATAATTAGGAGATCGTTGTTCTAAAGACCTCGAAGACATGCATGAAATATATAGTTAACTGAAATTTTAGGATGCTCGTAATAGTTGCCAAATGCCGAGCTTCCCTCCCCTCTAATTTTAGGGGCCTGATTTTCCGAGTGGCTAGCGCTCTGGCACTCGGTACCACAGGGTTCGAGTCCCGGCGGTGCCATGAATGTTTGTAGTGGTTCGGAATCCACTTTAAACAGTAGGTTTGTGTCTGTTTAGCGTAACGTGTGCGCAAGATGACAGTAGAGCGACAAACCAAACCCCTCCATTTTTCTTTTGATGAGATTTTTTTAATGACCTATTATAATTTGAATGTTCTATTGTCTTAATAAATAGATTTATTTAATCCAGTTTTTAATGTATTCATTTATTTTAATTTAGATTGAGATTTTTTAATGACCTATTATAATTTGAATGTTGTCTCGTCTTAATAAATAGATCTATTTAATCCAGTTTTTATTTCTGTAATTTATTTTAATTCTGTAGTTTTTTCAGTTTAGCTGTTAAAGTAATTTTAAGATAGTAATTTGCTTTTTTCAAAAATTGTCATTCACTGTATAAAGGATTGTTTGCTAAAGGATGTTTTAATAAGAATAAGTAGCTTATATATTTGTTTTTTCGCTGATTGCCGTTTTCTGTATAAATTATTGTTTGCAAAAAAACTGTTTCGTTAACAGTAGCTTATATGTTAATTTACTTAACTTACATTTTAAAAGGGTCCACGAATTACCAAAAAATTTTTAAGGAGATCGACACTCAAGAAATTCTTAAAATGTTTGAGAATCATTGCTCTAACAGTATTAATACCGATGCACAAATGTTTGCTAAGGAATTTTATTGATTTGAAGAAAATTTCCAATAATACAATTCTATAACTTAATCTTCGATAAAAATCAAATCGAATTCATTAATAGAAAGGATAGGAATATTATTCTATAAGAAATATTCATGTTATAAAAGCAGGTAGTAGAAATTTAGAAAATAAATCTATTACTCTAGTAGGATAGAAATATTCTATCCAATAATTAATTTTCAATACTTTACTATATCCCCATAGAATCATTTTCATTTCTCATTAAATTCAATTGTATTGCCTTTTAAAGAAATAATTTTAAAAAAAAATTATTTTATTTCTTCATTAATTATATATTTTTTATTTCTTCATTTATTATTTTATTTTAATTGCTAATTTATTATTTTATTTTAATTATTAATTTATTATTTTATTTTATTTCTTCATTTATTTTTAATTTATTTATATATTTTAATTTTTATTTATTTATTTTGATTAAAAAAAAATAATAAAAAAAAGGAAAAATAGACATAAT